CTGAAAGTGTGAAGTAAGAGCTACTGGTGGTAGAGAAGAATTAGAACTGAAACATATAGAGTAAGCTATACAGCTTATTTGAAGTGTATCTTCTTGTGACATTTAGCTGCCAGAGCTTTACCAGCATGTTTCAATAAAGACAAATCTAGGAAAAAGAATCCATTTCAACTTTATATTTATTTTACAAATGGGCAAACCCTATGTATTTATCAATGCAAAATTAAAGTGCTTGACTATATCACAAAATATGACTGATACTGGTTGCTGGGTATAACTTCAATAACAGAACAGTTAACTCAAAGTTTTCAGATTTTTTTGGAGTGAAAAACATGATTCAACTTGAATATTGGAAGTGCACTTAACTAATTCTTGCAAGAGTGGTGTCTAACACTTCCATATTTTTCGCTTTGTAAAAGGTCAGAATTAGTGCGAAATAGAGCTGATTTCGTTTCCTTAGGGATATATCTTCAGGAATGTTATTTGAAGTTTGACTGTCTCCTGTTAAATCAACCTCAGTGTGAAACACTAGTTGGATGAGGAGAAAAAAACGTTCTGCAACACTTGCAGTAATATCCAGTTATAGTATTAATTTTTTAATAAACTTTATTTTTTGGCCCTATTCTGTTCACCGTAATTGCATATAAACATCTTTAGTGTCACAGCTGATGTACTATGCCACTGAAGTTCATTTCCGTCATGGATTGTACAATTTTTATATGATATTATTGGCTTTACTTGCTGCAAAGCTAAGGGAATACCTGTGAAAGAATACATGTCAAAGGCCCGTCTGCCAGTTAGGAAGCAGTGAACTTTGGGGGATAAGTACTTCATTGATTTTTTTTTTTTTTTTTTTAATTTAAATGAGCTTGTAGCATAATACAAATTCCCTTAAAGCCAAGTTCAATGAGTTAAGTTGTGTACATCCCTGAGTTTGTCCTGGATCTTTCATATGTCTGTTTCGAAAGATTTTTACTTGAAAACAGGAATGATGTCTATGTAAACGTGTTTTTCCACAGCTTCAAAAGATTGTTCAGAAAACTTTTGACAAGTTATATGCGGTTAGAGTGTAGCGATGCAACTATAAAAACTGTGCAGCAAGTCTAGAAGCTAGGCTGTCTCGGACTGTGAAGGAATAAAGTATCATCAACTGAATGTGAGAGTCTAGCAGTAAGATTTTCAAAAAATCTTGTGTATATGGAAAAAAAGAACTACAGGATGTGAGGGGGATGTTAACGGTGATTTTACTGGATTGGTAAACTGCTAATTCAAAATTATGTTCAGTGTTATGTTATACAAACTTAGAACTACATTATAGAACTACATTATATGTTGAGGCACTTATGTTTTTAATTCATTTAACTGAGTAATTTGATCTATTGGCATAAGTAGTTTATTAAAAAAATGGACTAGAAATAGATAATACTGCAGTGTTCATCTGACAGAAGTCTGTCTTCTGCTGGCTGAAGGTAGAAATAATTTCCTGTATTGATGAGAAAACTGCCTACAAGATGTAGAAGATCATATTATATCTTAGTTGTCTTTGATTATATTTTTTTAATATATCTTGTAGTGTCTGATTGTCTTTCAAAAAAAATAAATCTCGTGTTGTGGAAAAAATCTATTTGAATAATTAGATATTAATTTCAATTTTAAAAAGGGTTTGTCAGGAAAATAACTGAAATGAAGAGTTCACTGTATATCTGAAGGCTCTTAAAAGAGCTTGTACTTCACAACATTCACTAAACAAAGCATTAACCTACCCTCTCTACATCGTAACTCGTGAACACAACTCGTTCATGGGCAGTTACTAAAGTGCCAATGTATTTGCATTGTTGCATCCTGACTTGTTGATTACCTCTGAGAAATGACTTTCTTTTCTTAACCTCTAGGCAAACAAAGGTTTGGATGATGACCATGTTTTATTTTCACAAGGCTCGGTAATACTGTGACTAGGAGTTGAATTGACGTTTCATTCTAACATTAATGTGCAACTTCATATACCTTTTGCCAAATCTTCGGTAACTAAGCAAGATTCTCTGCTGGACTGAGATGGGATAGTGAATGAGCTCTTTGCTGTTGCCTGCCTTGATCTTCCCTGACCTGGCAGTAGAGCACAGCTGACGAGCACACTCAAAATTTGCCAGCAGTGAAATTGTGTTTTAATTTAACCCAACTAATTGCTTACACTAATTCAGTTGAATTTACCTGATATCAATCAGCAATTGCTCTCAAGCACTGTGTTGGCAGGACAGTGAGGTGGAGGGATCAGCAAAAGGGGTTTGGTAACAAGTCACTGGGCTAGTAAATTCTTCAACTGCTTAGTAATGGACCCTAGAAGGGAATGTGTCAGGAAGTTTGGAGGCGATTCTGAAGTTTCTTTGAGCCTAGGATTTGTTAGTATGAAAAGCATATTCCGTAACTGAAATGGGGAAGCTTCTTAGGGTTTTGATGAGTAAAACACTATTTAAAGTGCCTCTCTTTTTAAGATAATCTGTTTAATTGATGATTGGTAATTCTGATGTTCCAATTCCTGTCTTCTACCTCTGTCACAGTAGGTAGTTCTAGGGATTTACTATGCAGCCTTCTGGAGGTTATACTGAACACCGTAAAGGAGAAGGTCTACCTGTGAAAGATTTACCTGTTTATGTTGGGATTGCTGCTTTTCATAGTTTTTACTAGAATGGAAAAGGCTGCATGCTTTTGCAATTTCATTCACAGGTTAAATGCTTTAAATCCAGATGGATTTACTCAACCACAACTGAGGTAGTACAAAAATGTTGTTTCAAAATTAAATATCACATAAATGAGGTCAGAGCCCAAAAGCTATTGTTTGATAGGAGGAGAACAGGACAGGTCAAGGATATTATCAGTATCTTGGGTCTCTGCAGTAGCAGAGATCCTAGATGTTAGGATCATCTAGACAGTTTTACTTTTGAGATACTACTTATGAAACAAGCTGGGTTTTGACACTTAATTTAGGATTTACTATAGTTATTCAAGTGTGGGTGTCATCATCATGTGAGCTGATAAATAAGTGGTATCAGTAGAGAAAAAATACAAATGTAAGCAGTTTTAAATCTCCTGAGGAGTCCTTGTGGAGCAATCTTCAGAAGCATCTTTTGGATGATGCTGTTTTGGAGTGGAGGTGTATTGGAAGAATGTAGATTTGGAAAATCAGCTTAGTCTGAAAGTGTGGGTTTCTCCCTCACTCCACAAAGATACTATTTAAACCAATGTTTTTGGTGCTTATATTCCTCATCCTGCATATAGGTTAAGGTAAGTCAAGTTGCTGACTTAAAAGTTAAATTGCTTGGGTAGTCTTTGAAAATCTTGAATCTCTTTTGTGTGTTTAAACATAGTTTGCAACTCTAACTGTATAGAAACAAGTAGCTAATATATTTAACAATTACTACCGGCCATTTTTTGCGGAAAGCTCCTGATTGTAAGTCTGTGTTTAGGTTTTTCCTTCTTTCTTTATATAGTTATATAAAATGTCTGTCTAGATCAGTAGAAAATGGTGATATGTCATTGATACTAGATTACTGCAAATGTATGTATTTTTAAATTGCCCTTGTTATAAAGGAACACTTTTCTTTTGAAATAACTACAGTCTACAGTGTTATCTGAATACTTCTAACTAATTTACCTACAGTATCAAGTACACAAGAGTCCGGACTTCAGAGCACAGCTGGAAATCACAGAAGCATAAAAAGGAATGATTCTGGTGAAAATTCTACTGTTAACAGACTTTTGCTTGGGTAATGGCTTGATTTATTACTTAATTTCTTAAAACACCATTTAAACAAAAGCAAGCACACACTACAGTGATGGTTTCTTGTGTTTGTTTTTTTCTTGCCTTCAGGGACGAGAAATCACAGGAATTCAGTGCTCCAGTTAATTGCCACAATCCATTAAGACCACTAAACAAATCTAACCAGGTAGAACATGTAACGTTTTCCTTCAAAACCAGAAACTTTTCATTCTGCTTTACACAACTGTAACTTCCAATTTGCTCTTAGGCCTGTCCCTTTGGGAGAGTTCCTGTTAAACTGGTAACTGATGTTGGTGATGATGTGAAGATGACGGATGTTCCACTTACAGCTAGTGTTAGGAGGAGGTATGGTTGTTTGGTTTTCTGCAGCACAACAGATTTTAATTCTCCTTCTCAATCAGATGTTTTTGTTGAACAGTGGAAATATCAGTTAAGAAGATTAAAATTAATCTAAGGATTATTGACAAATAGTCATTCTAAAGGCACTAGGTATTGCAATAACCCACTTCCCATTTTACTAGTCAGGTTCTTTCTATGAGAGCATGCAAAGATCAGTTTCTTGTTCTGGCTAATCCGTAGCCTCAAAATAAATGGAGACTAATGCAAAAATAAGCTTTTTTGAAAATATATTCAAGTTCCTAAAATTAGGTAGAAGGCAGTCTTGTAACTTCTGAATGATTTTTAAAATCCTCATTTTTAACATAACCTGTATGATAATGATTATATTAAGAAAGTGGTCCTGTTCATTCTATTGCGAATAACCGTTCAGCAGTAGAAGAATATGCCGACTAAAGTAGCACTTCGCTACGTATTACCTGACTGTAGCACAGCTTGGAAGTAAACAGGGCAGAAAAAGCTTTTTTCCCCCGCTGCCATTCAATCAAATCTGTTATGTTAACTTTCTTCCTGTCTTATTGCTGCATGATTAGATTCATGTAGAAATGGGAACTTTGGGGAGAAATATGTAACCAGAGTAAAAACTGCATACTTAACCTCTTTAGAAGTTAGCTAAATCCTAATATTCTGAATCTGTGAAAGTTGTGAGATAAGGTATTTCACATAATAGTATTGTTCTTTAAGTATTTCAAAATTTACTTTGGAACACACTATTAGGATTTAGCATCATTGCTGTAGCTAATTACTGTTTTCTGTGGAAGACAACCAATTAAGTCATCTGTCACTTCATAGGATGATGGTGGCATTGTTACAGATTTTTGTGTTGTTTCTCACTTGGCTGTCAGAGTGGACCTGCTTTTCTGTATATTTGAAACTTGTAGCTGAAAATAAAAAGGGAGTTGTGTGAAGACTTTTGTTTGGTTCACAAAAGGCAATCATTACATTATATATGTTGCCATGTGATGTAATGAACAATATTATTTCAATAGGCAAATATCCAGCTCCAAATGTACATCCTTCATTGCACGTTTTCCACCATCAGAACCAAAATCTAGTGGGGGTGATTCGTACGACCTGGGAGACTTACAGGTAACTTAATCTTTTTAAAATCAATACGAGGAACTCTCTAATACCATAGGACAGTCAGGTAAAGGAAAATAATAACATTATTTTCAATTCAAGAAAGAAGGTAGAATTTTACTGTATATTAAGTAACCAGTTGTGAATGGAAGCATTCATTATGGGTTTTAAATTTGAAAACTGTTATGCATAATCAGGCATTAAGAGCGAGCTTTCTCTGAACAGTACATCTGATGGGAGAAATGGGGGTGTTAAAATCTGTCATATGATTTATTAAGAGGGGATAATCAAATTTCATCTTGACTACAGGAGCTCTTTTAGCTGTAGTCATGAGTTTTATCGTGGGAAGTACTGTATTCAATGAAGCCCATTTAATTGAGTTCAGTAAGTGCTCTATGGAGCTGTAAATTATGGCTTTTGATAGAGATTAATTTCAAGCTATGCCTTGCATTTTGATGTCTTGTGCCCGTGTCCTCTGAAAGAAAATTAAAAAATAAGGTCTTTATTATAGAAACTGTATGATGGAAATTCAGAATATTGATGGATTTAAAAATAGAATCGGTAACACTTGTCTGTGTACGCTGTGCTGTTTTCTAAAGCATATTTTTTTTTGTGGTGCATCAGTCATTAATTATCGTAAGGAGATGTCTTTGGTCACTGTGCTTAGTATCTCCTTTGATTCTTTTTAAGATGCTTTTGTTTCTTTAGTCCTTACTAGAAAAAAATTCTTTACAGTTCCAGATATTGGATGAGAACAGCTTAGAAACAGCTACCAATTCAACCGTAACTCTCAAAAACAAAATGGATACAAGTCTTGCAATGAAAAGAGAAGGTAACTATTAATATGTAATGTTTTAGCATTTGAAATAAAATAAGCATTGAAAATTTGCTGTTCTGTATCAAAAAAAATGCATTGCTAAATAAAATATTCTTCAAAAAGTGAAAAAGTTGGTCTGCTTGGAATTGAGTGTTTAATTAAAATTTGCATTTTCAGTAGTACTCGTGAAAGTAGTCAAAAAAAAAAAAACAAAACAAAGCTCAAAAAAACCCCTTCTGCAATACTGTCTGACAGTGTGGGTGTGGAGATCTGGGCATGAGCTAAAATGCCAGTGTATGGTTCTAATTCATTATGTGTCCTTACAATGCACGTAACATAAATAGGCATTGAAATAGCAACAATGCAAGGTTTCAAATTAAGTCTTGTCAGCCTGAGTGTAGAAAAATGCTGCCAATGTATCAGATAACAGTGGTAGTTCATACCAAAAAAAAGTGGATGTTGGCTGAGAGACATTGAAACTAAGGATTATAATGTTCGTGAGGGATAGTCTGTTAAGATTTTTTTTTTTGACAGACTCAAATTATAGTAGTTTACTTCTCCTGTGACTTTCCTTGTACATGCTTCTAGCTGACCTTATAGGTGCCATAGCTCTAATTTCTTCTGTTGAAGTTTAATCTGAGATTGTTTTGGCTGAAGTAATCTTAAAAAGGTGAGACCATGACATCGTCTTTCATTTGACAAAAGTGCAAAGCTCCTGCAGTTCTCTGAATTCAGAACACTGACATCATCTGTTGCTTTCTATCCTGTTTACCCATTAGTCCCTAAAACTCTAGACAGCTTTTTCTACTGGATGCTCTTTCTTATATTAGGATTGTTCACATATCTTAATTATTTGCTTCTGCTTTGGTCAAGCTCCTCTTGTCTTTTTCCTTGTTTCATCTGTTAAGTATCTGTTGTCTTTGGTCAGCTTCACTGGCTCATGCATGTTTGCTTTTAAATGTTACATTTATGGCACTTTGGGCATTTCTTAGCTTGTAATATAGTATTTTCCTCACATGAGTTTTACTGCAGCATACACATGCATCTTAATCTTTGGGTAAAGTACAGAATACATAAGTTTCTTTAATGTCGCGGTTGCTTTCTTATGAGGTTTCCCAAAAGTATGAAAACACTTTGACAAAAGGCAAATTGTTTGCCTTTTTTTCCTGTATCCTGAAAAACAAAGAATTATTTTCACCATTCTTTCCATATGCTCAGTGTAATCCAGTTTATGAACTTGTACTGCAGGAATCCTTTGTTCGTGTGAATGACACTTGTACAAAATAAATGTATATTCTGCAGAGGCTTGTTAAATTTCAGTGTCAATTGAATGCACTGTTACGCTTTTGATTACTGTAAATGCTCTTGCTTTAAACATGGTGTTTCAGCCTTAACTGTACTGTTCCTTGTACTCCTTGATTATCTATAAAGATAGCACGTGATGATACTTCTGTGTAATTTTTAGAAATTTTATATTTTTAAAGGAATCTAGGCTTTGCTGTCATTTGAATGGCTGAGATTCTTAGTGGATTATTAGCATACTTTTGGGGAATGATTTTTAACTTATTTTAGAAACAGACATTTTTGGTGTATTCCGGAAATAACCTAAGCTCTATTTAAGTTTTTATCTAATGAATGGAGTTTGACTATTGTGTGAAGTCACCTCACAACACAGAAATAGGGGTGGCATGAGACCACCTTACATAGTCATCTTTCTGTTATAAAGATAAATGTTATAAACAACTTAGATTTTTATAGTAAGTATTTCAGGGCTGGTAAAATTTAGAAGGATACTACTAATGACACCACCAACACTGTGGGATATGAAATATTTATACTAATCTTTTACAGTTACATGCTGCTTCTGTTTCATCAGAATCTAGTTCTCTAGATGACTTTCTGGTTTCTGATCCTGCTGAAGAAATTAGGTGAAAATGTCTAATAATATTGCAAGAGTTAGATTTAGAATTATATACATACCTACCTATTGTAGGAAAGAGAAATATTTAATTTGGAAAACGATGATTTTTCAACTTCAGTGTCCCCCCCAACCCTCCAGTGAAAACTTTCCTATTGACTTGCATGGGTAGAAGTTTTAGTTTGAGGTCATACTTTCCCTGTTTGTGCTTCATTCAGCCTTCCAGACGAGATGGTGGTTGTAGTAGCTCAGTCCTTTGGTAGCTGAATTGCACACAACCCCTGCTGAGCATGGGATATTGCTTTCTAGTCATGTGAGAAGAAAAGTGAATGAACAGGTGAAGGAACACTCCTAGTCTGTGCTATTTACAGCCTGCCTTGCAATCTTGGACCAATTCAGTGTCCTATGACCTCTGCAAAAGGAACCATGAGATGGAGCATGCTTAGTCCCTCTATGACTCTGGCTTCAGTCATTGCACCAGGTTAAAAGTTGCCTATTGCCACAGACAACAGATTTCTAATTTGAAGTATCGCAATAAGCTTATCTTCAACCTGCTCAGTGTCCCAGGATGTTGTAGTACAAGTTCTGAATATAATCTTGTTCTGTGTGTTGACGAAGGAAACAATTGTCTGTTATTGTTATATTAGTATCCTAAGATTTTTAAAAAAGTTGCCATTACTACACTGAACTGAGTAGAAATCAGATTACATTAATGCTTTTTAATGCCTGATTTCAGTAAGTCAACTGTGTTGATTTATTCTGATATGGAAAATAAAGTAGAATTCTTCTAGAAATTGTGGGATATATCTGTCAAACTGTTTCAAGTATTGTATTTTAATAATCTGATTTTTTTTTTTTCAGAAAATAAAGTCCAGCATCAGGAACTGAAGATACCAGAGCGACAGGGTCTGGAAAGTCAACAGGAACAATCTAGTGAAAGCTATAGAAAGCAGTTGGATCAGATTAGACTAAACTGTGTCAGCGCCAGAAGAAAATGGCCAATTCAAGAAGTAACCCACAAAAGCTGCTATAGAGAGGTAAAAAAACAGGAATATGTAGTGGTTCTCTAGCTGCAGCAGCTATCACACATTGAAAAAGTGATTTCCGTGTTCTTAGTTGTGGCTTCTTGTGTGCAATAATATCTTGTTTTGCCCTCTTTTTTTGAAAACAATCGAGCCTTGAACAATCTGATCATCCTGTTTCAAGAGGATTATCACCACCAGATGCTGTTTCTAAGAAAAGTGATCCATCGCATGTTTGTGGAACACCAAGCACCACATGTAATGACTATATGAACTGGTAAGCCACTTTGAGCTGCACACTTATGAAGGGTAGTTGATCTCTGGAAAGACTTCAGCAGTTTTTAACAGTTTCTTAGGCTTTTCTGTTCAGATAGCAAGCAAGATTTCTGACTGCTTCCAACAATTGATCCCAAATGCCTGACTTGAAGATTCAGATTGCATTTAGGGAACTGCCTTCTCTGTCAGCTTTTCAGCATTTGGAAGTGCACCACCAGACCAATAAGTCCTTATTACAACATTTACTTCTTTGATCTCTGCTACATGACACTTTCTTTCAAATGCCTTGTTTTTTGTGGCTGACAGGCTTTTTAGATTGATAACCGTAGATCAGTCTGGTTCCCATAATGCAAGTGTCTGGGTTTTAAGAAAAAAAACACAAAGGGTAAAGAATCTAGAGGCTTGCAGAATCGAGCATTCACATTAAGAAATGCTAGCATTTGTTTATCCATGCAATCTTAAATTAGGTATAAACCCCTGTGCATATGTTGATAAATCTTTCTAATTATATGATTACTTACTATTTTCATAAGTCTCGAGGATGAATCATATAGGTCAAGCTGTATGATGAGTAAGCACTGTTCCTGTTGTTAGGACCTCTGTAGCTGTAGAATTTAGAATATATGTAGTGAATGAAGCACATCATCTTGTGATGGAACTTGATAGAAGTGATCCTCAATAGATTTTGTTCTTGCTTCTATCAAACTTTGATAGTATGGAAATTTAAAAAAATTAAATTCTCATTACGCACAGTATGTACAGCACATAGTAAATGTGCAGTATAGATTTCTAGGTTGGAAAAGACCTTAGAGATCATTGAGTCCAACCGTCCCTAATCCCCATTAAACCATATCCCTCAGTAGATCATCCACCCGTTTCTTAAACACAT